AATACCGAATTTGACTTTTCTCCAGACCTTCGTTAAGGTTCCAGAATTACATCTCGACAGCTGCTTTCCCCAGCTTGTTCGTCATGTTCATCCTTCCTTATATGGAGTGCACAAACCATGTACGTGGTAAAGATCCGACAGCATGATCTTCCACAATTATAATCAATCGCTTGCATCTGTCTGTCTGACAATAGATATCACCATTTCTATCACATCCATGTGTCTGCTCTAGAGCGAGTCAGAAACACTGGTTTCATTGTTTGAATTTGATGCGATGGTGGTTCTGTACATGATTTGTGATGCGGCGCCTGTTCTTTGCGTGGCATGCATTCAGACGTACCACTTGTTGTCACATTGTCAGCAAATTTCTCGTGGCGGAAGAAGAAGACACGAGCCCTCTTTGAAAATTCCTGAATCGAACGTAGTTCACATGTGCCTCTAGATCCTCTTCTTTTATCCCGCGAGCGAGCAAAAGGTCGAATTATAGGAAAGCCTTGATATTCTCCACCTGGCATCTAATCGCACATCTCTTCTCCATGTCCAGGGTTGGTAATGTATTTCCTACTGACCATCGATCTACGCTCATCCATGAACCTGCCCACAGGTCTGGTTCAATCCAACACTGCAAAGTCATTCATTAGTTTGGATACCGATGCCAATGTCATTAGTTGGTCCTCCATCTCCATACGCGCATCTACACATGTCAAGTGTGCGTAAGAACAAGCACCCTCCGATTTATTACTCTCAAGTGTGACCGTCAATGGTACATCGAATTCGCCACATACATTGGTTTGTTGCCCCGGAGGTCTTTATTATCCTTAGAACTTTTCACCTTGTTCAAACATGTCCTGCTTTCTCTCTGCAATATTCAAACTTGCTACCACTCTTGGTTTGTATGGTCTGGTGGGCAATTGTTTATTTTACTACCTTACGACGTCCCTCTCTCGAAAATGATTGATTCTCCATCTCAACCTCACCAGCTCATGGTGCAACACCGGATGCCATTCGACTCCATGCCGAGGGTCATGTACCGATGCATACTCTTTCAGCCGTCATCAAATTCGTATTCAGTGGTTCATGGTATATGCTGTAGCAGTCGATGGCCTAGTCAAACTCTGCCCATATCCGAAATTCTACTCCAAAAATTTCTTCTTCTGCCTCATGTGATAACAGACTTGGCCATTTTTTATCAGATTTCTCCTCCACTTTTCTTATGTACATAACTACATAATGAAAGTGGTAATCCTCGATGCGCCTAGCAGAGTTCATAGATCCATTTGTATTCTATGTGATGATGTTCTTCGTCTCGATGGACCAACATCGTCTTCTGTCTCAACTGGGATCGTAAACCTTGGGTCCTCGATCCAATCGATTGAATTTGACAATTCTCCAATGAAGATCAAAACGAGAATTTTTGAGATGGGTGGTATGCAAGAGTGGTATGTAGCTTGAGTTCAAGCGTTCTTATGTTTGCATGAGTTGGTTTCCAACTTTAGCTTCTTGTGTTTGCTCTCTTCGTTTTAGTTCTCGAGTTTCTGTCACCAGCCCAACTCACTTCTCGCGTCACGACAACAACAGCGACTGCAATCTCAACCATGAAGGGTCCACATCTTCCTCAAAGCCTCTCATCAGTTTACTTTATTTTCACACGGTTTTCTGGGCATTCGTTACGAGAGCTCGCTACTCTCCTAACACGAGCCTATGCCCTGTTCAGTGGCATTCGCCAGGAATATGTTCAGAGTTGCCATCTGGAAGAAAATAACACATGAAAGAAAAAGACGTTAGAATTTATCCCGAATGCATCGTAGAATGTACCACGAATCAGATCCACCAGACAGTCCGCATATACTAAGTTGCAGACTGACGCCAGTCCCAAATGTCTCACAAGGATTCATCACTGGACAGATTTCAGGTCTGAAATCTGATCAGGACATAGCTTTGGGTGATAATTAATGATCCCATCACTCGAATAAAGGGGGGCTCCAAGTATACGCGTACATTTGTAAGCCCGGGCTCAGCTCAGCTCATCTCAGCTGACGAAGCGGTGTACTTGATCACCACCGCGATTATGGTTATCAGATCTTTGTGCAGTTTATACGACGTGATCGGGGAAGGCACCATGCTCGTGTAGGTGTCGGTGGCAGATTGGGGATATTCATGCGCAATTCTAAAGATTCCGAACTACTGACGCGAGCCTTCTGACGAACAGAACTGCCACCGCTTCGCAGCTGTATCCTTATCGGCCAGATGGGATTTTTATTTCCCACAAATGAGCCCATCGACCTCGAACGTCTGCGACTGACACGGTTTCAAAAACCGCCGACATGAGACATTCGTCCCTTCGCCAGCCCTTACCATGGTACCCTCAATCCATCCATCAGATTCATAGTGGAAAAAGGAAATTGTTGCACGTATTTCCATTACGGTTTCTTAGGTTTTCACACTTCGCCGGTATCTACGAACGAGTGGAACGGATATCATGTACAGCATGATTTCGTTCTGCCTGTAAAGAATAAAGTCCTCGGGCGAATTTAGATATCTCCCGATCTTGGCTTTTCACTCTGAATGTAGCTGTATAGCGTTTCATCCATCCACAGGAGAGGATAGTGGTTGAAATTTGCTGAAAAATCAGCAAATTTCAACCACTGTGTGTTGAAGCCATGTCATTCATGCTCAAAGTCTCTCGGCAAAGGATTTGCGGACATAGCACATGGTACTTGCAACGACCACAACACCATTTTCAAAGCACTACAACAACTGATATCTGAGGAAAGAGTCCCAGCCAGTATGAAATGAGTCATTACATCGAGGTAGTCAAGGTCATTCCGAATGACCTTACTACCTCGATTCCCGAATCTGCTGATGTACATTTTGGTGTCACGTGTCAGTAACTCTCTACTGCGAGTCAGACAACTTTTTGGTGATTAGACCCATGTGTCAAATAGTGAGACTGACAGGCGGAAATTGTTGTCAATTACCGATCGTAGTGGGTTGGGAATGGATCATCTTCTCGTTATTTGTCATGCCACAACCTCGGACTACAGTACAAAAGTGTGGTCTTCGGATAGTCATTAAGTGTAAAGCTGACAAAGTGACAAATCGTCGGAAAAGCTTGCAAAGTGAAGTGAGGGAGGATCGTCACTTCTCCTTTCACAACACATTTTCATTCCATTAACTGACAGGGAAGCTCAACCTTCCCGGTGGATTTCTTCACACCGAAGGGGTTATTCTGAGGAGTTAATTGTGATCACGTCATTCTAGGAATTGATTAGCTACTTTCTAGGTCCTCTTGAGATCGTACAGGAGCATTGAACACATGAGTCCAGAATGTTCTTAATTAGTGTCGGAGTCTCGAATGACTAACCGTCAACCAGACTGTTGACTACTGTCCGTGTTCCATGTATCTCGAGTCTCAGATAGCCCAGATTGGATGCTGTAAACCAGAATCCATGAACATGATCTACTGAGATGCGCTTCGTCACCACCGGGTGAAGGCTGAGGAAGGCGAAGCAAGGCAAGAGACCAGATTGGCTGTAAGTCAAGGACATGAGACACTCTTGCGGCAGAATTGTAGTTTTAATTTTAAGGAGGAACAAGTTGCTTCTAGCGGAGAACATCAGGACATACAACTCCGTCGCGGCGATCAATTTCCAAGGTTTGGCGGTTCAATCCTTGTACAAGCTGGAGGCCAAGGTCACGCGGAGCCCACCCAAAACTGCAAAACATACCCGGAGGCAATTGCTTCGCTGACTAGTCTGAAAATGGTCTTCGATTTTTCACCCGATTTGTACTCGTCCGGCTGGGAACAACCGTAACTAGCCTATGTTGACCTCTGTCCTAAGAAAAGTGAGCTCTAGGAAGACATCATGGGCCTAGCTTCAGTAATGAGCATGAAATACACGTCTAGTATATAAAAGCTACCTAGTGTTTTTGAACCATTACACGAATAGAATTTGCTCTTAAAAAAGTGTTTCATACAATACGTTAAAGATAAATAAAATAGACTGCTAACCGTGTAAGATGGTATACTGTCGTGTATATGAAAAAGTTTAAGACCCTAGTTTTATGAGCCCAAATTAGAGAATTAGAGCTATAACATGTACGTGTACATTCATATTTATTCACCGGCCGATCCACTCGCCCCGTCAATGAGAATAGCTATTAACGTACACACCAAAACCTTGTCAAATATAGGTTGTGTAAAATTAACTACAACAGCAAGATCCTGGTCCTCCTTTGGTTGAGCGCTGTCCTGAAGAATGCACTCTTAGTGGTGACTATGGACAGTTTCATGGAGTCGTCCAAAGGGTGTTAACAAGAATTGCATTTCATCATTCATACTCCGATTATAAAAGAACTACCAGGAAGTCCTGAAGACCACATTCGGTTCAATGCTGGATCGTAAAGGGCAATTGTAATCACCTGATCTCCCCGCCGCGGTTGGTACACATGAAGGTGATGAGAGAGTATGGGCAACTGCATTTTAGCTAACTCAATGAACACTGTCAAGGTATCGGGGATGGAAATTGCGTAGTCCAGCCATGAAAACAAGGAGGCATGCTGTTCTTTGCTTTGTTCAGGGGCTCCTCTTATGTGGACTGAGTTTGCAAAGGAGGACATTCCGTAAACTGTGTGGCTGACGTACGGACATTGATAATCGATATAATGGGCTCATGGAATGCAGTTTCAAGATTCTATCCCAACTGTTGCCAAAACTGCCCATTCATTTGCCATTGGCTGGTTTATCCAGTCATTGCGAAGGCCGTTTCATCTGATTCGGCAGTCACCCTGCATACTCTTACTTAATACAGGCTGTACGATGCGTTCTCAACAACAACCACAAATATTACTGAACAGGGTCTTTAATTGATTCTGACACATTCTGAAATTGCTGCAGCTCTGCATCTACGACCAGACGAGTCACGGGGTTGTCGTCTTTCTCATGCATCTACTACGCCATATATTCAAGACTCGCCCTTCCAAGTCTCACATTAGCTCAGCCCTGTGAGCTGTGGGAGACTATCCGATCGTAGCCAACAACTTGCTTGGAGGGAAACGGCCTGAAGCTCCTGGGAGAGATTTTCCTCATGGCATTCGTTAAGGTTGTCGTCGTGTGCTTCATTGCGGTTTTGATCGCGGATCTTGTGGCGGCACAGAGCTGTCCCCAGACCATCACATTCAGCCCCTGCCTCACGAACGTCGGAAACACCGGCACGCCTCCAGCTTACGACAGTCAGTGTTGTAAACTGGTGAGGGATCCGAAATGGACGGACCAGTGCCTGTGCGCCGTCGTCTCCTCGCACTTTCCCGGTGTGGACGAGACTAAGGCCCTTAATCTGGCACACGATTGCGGCAGGCGTGTACCGAAGGGCATTTACTGCGATGGTACGTCTCCCACCTGTGTTTTTTCTCATTTTGATTTTTCTCATTTTCGTCCTGCTCTGCGCACCGATTCCTGAAAGGACTTCGCCTCAATAATATGGGACCTCATTGCTCGCTCATTTCCTCTTGTTTTATGTCGTCACGAGATCGTGGGTTTCTTGCGCTAGCGCCAAGTAGTGAAACGTGATTGTTGTCGTAGTTCCACCTTATTCCTCGAGTTTGACACGAGTCACTGAGCTGAAGTCTTGTCGTCTATGTCAGTGTCTGAATTTGACTGTGTTTTTGTCGATGCATCTGCAGGCAGGCCAGTGCCTCCGTAAAGACTCTCTTTACCTCCCGCGTTCGAAACACTTGAGGTCGAAGACGTTTGCATCGGTCGTTCTACGTAGGAACTAGGAGACATCGAATGTAGAGGGGAGTTATTCGCTGGGTTTTCTCTGGCAAAACTGTAAATTTTGGCCATACACGGCGTGTTAGTTGTAATCAAGGTCACTCTTTTGCTCTACCCGTACTACCCGCTTGTGATGAATGTTTGATCTCGTAGCATATGATTCTTCTGATCTCCTGTCATACTATGAATTTTTGAGATTCCGTGTCTCCTGTATTAGGAATTGTTTCAGAACGGAACAGACTACGCGATGAGTTACTACTACAACAGCAAATCTCAACAAGCGGACAGCGTGTCTTAATCAAATGCTCGTTTGCAGACAGGCCCCAAGTTTCTAGTGAGCACAAAGTTGGTCAATGTGAAATTAACTCCAGGAGAAAATGACCAGGAAGTGACAACTAAACCAGTGGAAGAATGTAATTCCAAACAATACTGCATTTTTTTAAAAAAATGCAGCAAAGACGGGAAATTTGTCCGATAGACAGACAGGGGAGAAGAAGAAAAAATGTGAAAATGTTGAAGATAACATTCTGTCAAAAATTATATCATTGCGAAGAATAAAACTGTGCGTATCAGACCAATGTTATGATAATCCCAGATAACGGAAGTAACAAGATAAATTCCTCTCTCCTGGAAGATACAAGTAAACACAAAGTGAACAGATGAACAACGAGAGATACAGAAACATGTTCAAAATCATTACAAATTGTTTTTAGCAAAACTGATCTTTCTAGCAAGTATGATGCGACATATTCTATCTCTCACTTGTTCCATTTGGTCAAAACTAAGCAAGCGGCGTAACCAGTCTGCTAATTCTGCACTTCGGATGCCATCTATCCAGTTTCCCTCTCTTCATTACAGTAGTTGTCATGTTGGGAACAGCCTTTGGTATCTTGATTCAGTTTCAAGGCACTTACGTCACAGAGACTACTGGAGATCGGAAAAATCCTCGAAAGACATTCGGTACACAAAGAAGGTGTGGAGGCAAGAACCCGAAGCCGTCGCCATAATACCATGTCGACTTCCAGATTCCACCAACCTCCAGGAGCAGTTCGACAAATTGTCGAACTACTCCTGGAGACTGACTGATTTCTGACAGAAGCCGGCGACAGCGTTTCAAGCCCGTTGAAGACTACTGCTGAACTGACATATTTTCATCGACCGCCGTGAGTTACGGCAGTTACGTGAGACGGCTCTGTTCCGAGCTTGGGTTGACTCTAGATTTATCGCGCAGTAGACTTGAATCTGCATCGAACTATTGATCAAACTTCCGGCTCGACTTCATACTCTTCTCACTTCTTCACAATAAGAGATGAGATATTTCCGTCCGTAGTATGTAATCGAAAATACTCGAGAAACCGAAAGTAATTTACAATAACAAGACCCAACCCGTGAGCAGATATCGTTAGAGAATAATACGATTTCACATGGATATCTAGATTGCAAACCATGAGTGTTTCGCTAGCGTAATTCTGTACGTAACTTAGATATGTTGGATCTATGTCCAGATTTCTATTATCTTTTCACGGTTCACCTTATTTACTCAAGTATGAGCAAAACTTAAAATTGAGATGAGTCATTGATCTAGTGTCCTAATGAAAATAGACACATATATCATTTGAAGTGAACACTATTTTTCCTGATTTATTATAGAAATATGTCATCCCCTCGTTTGGCTCTAACACATTTTTTCAAGTTCCTTGATGATTCACATCTTGTGGAGCACGTCAGTTACGCATCTGATTATGTCACTATGGAGATGATTTTGTTATTTTGATTTCTCTGTAGATTCTATAGGAATGGGTTCTACGCCTCGGAAAGCTGTTAGTGTTTTTGAACTATTTTTTTTCTCTACCAAAATACTTAAAGAATAATCTAACTTTCAAAAGTTTTATATTAAAAATATCTTTTGGTGCTGAATTTAGGTGAATCATCATGTAATCAATATAATTTGAATTTTTTTAATAATGAAGTATTATTTATGATAATAATTTTTTATCAATAAATTTTTTAATATATATTTATTTAATGAAAATATTTGTATAAAATCAAGAATGCAAGATGTTAATAAATTTTCATATTATCAATAAATTACTGAAGAATATCTTAAAAATATGAAACATGTTCTAAATAAATATTATAGAAATTTTTTGCACTTGTAATAATATTTGAAAAATTTAATATCTGGAATGGAAATTTATTAAAGAGATTTCAAGTTATTATATAGCAATAGGATGTAATAATTTTTTTTCTCAAGTCCATGACATGTTTCACATCAGAGGTATCGATTCACGTCCATAAGGTACGTGATACGATACTTAAAATTAAAACGTGGATTCAAACTTAAAACTTTCATAGTACTGTATGAACCTATGTAGCGCAGCCGTTCAGTCTCTATGTGCATGCGAGCATATTCTTCATCAGCGTTTTCAAAAAAACGTTTGACATGTATCGATAATTCGACTCTTCTCACTCTACACTATTCATTCTAGACATGGATTTGGTACTAGTTTTGAACAAATATATGTTTGTGCTAAGGTTTTGTACACAAATATGTAAGTTTCAAGGGACAATTCCTGCCTGCTTAAAATTTGCGGCATTCCAAAATCTTTTCGGAGAAAGCTTGGATAGTTACTTTTCACATTAAGTGATTCACAATCGGTCGCGTTCAAAGATTTTTCCAGTAGAAGGTGCGGGCGACTGTGCTGTCATACCACCGCACAAACTTGAATCAGCTTGTGAATTGCTTCTCTTACACAGATTCTGAAACACTTGGAAGAGGGAATTTGGGAGTGCAGTAGTACTTCGTGCGATTGCAGGGCATTTATATGAGAAGCCAAATATACATGGCACCATATCTGGTTGGTGGGATGTGGCAGACAGGAGTCAAATGGTTACGGAGCAGGTACACCCTCGTTGACTTATAGATCAGTACTCGCCGTCATGAGAACTCTGAGACGTGATGTATAACATTCATGTGGAGACTTTGCATGTGAGACGATTAATTCCAAGCAAATTGCCCTTAACCGTTTCAATCGTCACAGCAGCCGCAGCCAACACGATTTTTGGCCCATTCGCTGCAACTACTTCCTTCGTTGTGACACAATCTGCCACCAGGTCTTCGGAATTGGATAGTATATAAACCGCAGGTTCTGAGAGTAAAGTACATTGCCATTCTCTCCGCCTGGACTTCTTGGTATCCTGCTATCTGCAACTTCAGTACATTTTCCTAGAGTGTTTCGCAAGCCATGTCTCGAGCTATGAGAATTGTAGCATTGTGTCTTCTGGCCCTGCTCGCAGTCGAGCAGGTGGCGGCTCAGTGTCCCAGCGCAACAGGGTTTGTGAACTGCTTGCAATTCGCGAAGGCCGGAGCCCCGAAGCCCGATGCAAGGTGCTGTGCTGTGGTCAAGAGCCAGGCATGGACCAACACTTGCCTGTGCAACGTGGCGAAGATGAACATCCCTGGCGTTAACTTCAACAAAGCCATCGGGCTCCCGAAGGCCTGCGGTCGAAAGGTTCCAAGGGGCACCAAGTGCAACGGTAAGTCTACTCATCGACTTTTGTATCGCTGCATTCTGAAGACGGCTTACACTCGTAATTAAGTCCTTTGATCGCCTTCCTAGAATTCAACAGTCTATCAGCAACTCATTCGCAGTGTCTCATTTGTTGCAGGCGTTCAGGTGCCATACTGAGGACAACGCAGCGTGCTGCCAACTTTCTTCAGAATGAGACAGAAAACCTGAACATTGTAGAGATAACGATCGGAATTGTCGCCATGAACGTCAATCAAATTTGAGAAACTACAATAAAAGTTTTGCTTTCGGGGCCAATTTTCTTCGAATTTGGTGTGTTTTGGGAATGTGATGCGGTCAATAGCGTATCACGTGATTATGGTATATATGAGATGCGTCCAAGGCTATGTTGTACGGAATGCAGTAGAAATGCTAGTGACTCCTAACGGCAACTACTGGTCCGGAGAACACAAGAGCCAACTTGTATGTCTGTATCCGAAGTTCAAAATTTTCCACTGTTTTCTTAAAAGTATATGCGATAAGACATGAACAGTGTACACAGAAAGAAAAATATTGCACTTACTAGTATGTAATATCTCACACAATCACGGTAAAATATGTGTACAATGCGGACGGAATCTCTTCAACCTTCTTGCGAGCAGTAGTATTGATGGGAAAAAGTTGATATCTACAAAAACTGGTTACAATCTGAAATATGAATATAAATTTCCCATTGCATATACTGCAAATAAAAAACCTAGTACATTATACACCTCCTAATTATATAGGAAAAAAATCACAAAAATATTCAAGTTTCCACATTACAACACACATATCTATCACTGACAACCACCAAATTAAATATATTGCATACAAAAATTAACTTGTCAATATACACATCATATAAATTTCGGTAATTTCAAATTAACCATCATCCTAATCTACTACGAACATGAAAGTACTGTACAGTAGCAACCATGAATATTCTTCTGACCAATTATACAACTCTGTTCACAAAGCTCTTTCCAGTAGGTTGAAGGGAAAGGAACTCAATCTGAAAGCGAAATAATTTGTCACTTTCTTCACCAACATTATTATATCCTTGAAATGTGATTAAGTACCAGCAAAAATATAACTTCGCAACACAAACATCAGATCGATATTATAATACCAATTTAAAATTGAACACATCACTTCTCAATACACGAATTTTAACAAGAAATATATGTAAAAATGTAAACCAACATTACACACAATCACAACCTACGCGGGCAAAGCTCTATCCTTGATCAGGTTTATTCGCCATTCGTTAGTACTAATTTGTACACATGGGTTTTGTGGAGTTTCATTAATGGCATAGTTCCGCCATTGGTCTGTGAAAATTCATACATTCAGATGTAACACAAATACTTTTATGTATCTCCATCACGTTTTCTCTGCTCTTTGTATATTATTTCCTCCTTAGGTTTAAGCGTCTTGCCTTTCAGGCTTCACAGCGTGAAGAGGCAGAAATAACGAAACAACACTTTGCCTTTCTTTCTTGCTTCATACTTCAATATTGCACAGCGGTACAAGTCTGGAATGGTTGTCAGTCCAGTCATTAGCAATCCGGACAGTGAAATCTCAGATTCCTAGCCATCAAATGCCGATTGTCATCTAGTCAACAGAATTGCATCTCATTACAATCATCATTAAACTCTACTCTCGGACAAGATTTTTCTATATCGGCCGGTAAGACAATATCTTGAAAACCGTGACTCTACGGGTCCACACTTGCGCGTAAGGTCAAGACTCATAAATCCATGGCAAACGAAGTCAACGTTTCATGCCTGTGTCCGGTCATGCCAGCTCTAGCCAGACGGTCTCGATAAGCCAAGATCCATAATTGCGGCCATCACGTTGAATGCATCTTAATCGCGTCCTCGGCTGCCGACGTCATTTAGTCGCAAGCTCTGACTGAGTCGCTTGTGGGGACTGTGACACCGAAACTGAATCGCAATTTGGGCACTCACTACCTTCTTCTGCTCGCGAGACCCATCGTGCACAACGACGGATAACACGCTGGGTCCTCCGACCGCCGGGCGCCTCGAGATTTCGATGACTAGGCTATTCTTTACGAAAATTGCGGGCCACGTAGAGCGCCTTTCGGGACTGTCATCGCTCATCAACGACCCGACCTCGAGAAACTTGTCCCACTTGGCGCTGCCAGCTCAGCCCCCTCCACCCAAGAGTTCTGTCGAAACTAGGCGCGCAGTGTGAGATCGAAGACACGACGACGGCATGAATAAGAGCCGCAAAAGATTCTCGAAAGATTCTCGATCACGTGAGGAACAACTTCTGCGGACTCTCGAACTCACACAGGACGAAATTCCGGCTCAGGACGCCGTGAACGATTTCCGCGAAGCTGGAGCACAGAGCCTCGGGTTCTTCCAGGGCCTGGATCGGGGGGCATTTGAGCTTGTCACAAAGTTCGCACACCTGCAGAAAATAGGCCATGTCTTCGAGCGACCAGTTCGTCACCTTCACCTCTTCGGGTGCCCGAAAGAGGACCGAAGAAACTCGTGCATCGGTCAGAGCAGGCTGCGCCAATGCGGAGTAACTGATGCCATCGAGCTCGAAAGCAATTCTCTGCGCCGTGCCCGCGCCGGCTCCCCTCATCCTCGGCACTTCGATGCTGCACTCGACAGGCCTGAGACGAGCAATCCTGCCCTTCTCCAGTCTGATGTGAGTTGCAACCAACACTGTCCTCACTTCCTTCGAAGACGCCTTGGCCGTCACGAAATTCCGACACTCGAACCGCGATGAAATGGTTGCCATGAATGCATACCAGAAGGCTCTCCTTTCCCTCTCCCGAATTTGATTCGCGAGCCGCTTCACCAGCCTCGATATCCAGTACTGCGTAAATCTCCAGATCCTGTTCGAGACGCACGACGACGAATCGATGAGTACGATGACAATGCTGAGCATGACGGACCAAAATTTGTAGTTGCGAGCTTGCAGGATCAGTGGCCACGTCGATACGAATCTCATGAAGTTCTGCTTCGCGTGTGACTCTCTCGCCGTGTGGTCGAAGAAACATCTCATGGCCAGTTCGGCGCAGTAGCCCTTGCCGTGGAGAACGTGGCCCACGGCATCCACGAAGCTCAGGCTCCGGACTAGGTGGGCTTTGGGCCACAACAATTCATCGTCTTTGCCAAACCTCAATGGCAGAGACTCGTTCTTCCTGTAAGCATAGTCGAAAGCTCGGAGTCGCTTCAAGTGCGATGCACGGCTCCAGCTCGTCAAATACACGGAGGGATCATCCGGATCGAAGGAGAGCTGGACATTGCGACCGTCGGCGATGGCAGCGATGGTCATACCCGGTGGCATGTCTTCCGAGGCGAGGACGTCCGAGACCGGGGGATCCTTGTCCACATCGATATCATCTCTCATCATGATCAGGTTGCGTTTCTCGAGCCAGGAATCGCGACCATAGCTTAGACATGACATCATGACGTACGGGAGCCGGAGGTACCTGGTGGTGCGAATGAACTGCCACAATGTGTACGCGATCTGAACCCACAGCATTATGCTCTGGAACGTGTCGAAGCTCTCGCTGACATGGGGTCTCGAGAAACTCATTGTGGTGAGACAACTGCCCGGCTACTCGGCTTCCCAGCTTGCTGGCCTCGCGAGCGGACGTGATTGCCTGCTTGGATCGCCTGTCGGTCTGTGGTGTTTCTAGTGCACAGAGGTGCAAACTGTGTATTCATGAAGTCCAGAGTTTCAAAATCGTCAAACAGCTTCAGCGAACGTCCCCGATTTCGGAGTCGGCTCCGCAATGGGATTGTCTGTCTAGCCAGGGACTCCACCTCGTTCGCATCACATCTGCAAGGAGGGGTCCATCATAGAGATTTGCAACCTCTTGACATATGTCATCCATGGTAACCAGTAGTCGCGAAAGGAGGCATGGCTGCGAGGGCAGAGTCGGATGGCGAATGGCTGATCCGGAGTACATGAGACAAAATAATTTTTTTCCCCGTTCTTCCTGATGAGGCGAGCTTCGAGTGAGCGTTGTCGATAACAGCCGGAAGGCTATTGGCCTATCGGTGGTTAAAGGCATCCGCTAATCACTGGCAGTGACGAATCTGCAGCTGGGGCATTAGCAATATCGCCGATGGTCCAGTGACCAAAGAGATTTCTCCGAACGAACTTTTTCCCTATCGTGAACGCCTCTCCTCAAGGCTGTACGCTGAAGTGTTCCAGCTTCTTCTTCTTCTTCTTTTCAAGATGGATAGAGAGATGGATGCACAGCGTTTGGTCGACCTTCGGTCAAACCTCGGCTTTACCGAAAATGATCGAGCAATGTCCACTGCACAGAAAGATTGCTTTCTTGGGAGTTTTGGACAGATTCGTAGCCGACAATTTCTCCCGCAGCCGGCCACTGGAAGTCTCTACATTTAGGCTAGGAGGCGCCTGGACATTTGGACAACTGTCAAGCGTGTGCCCGGCCTCGGGGCAAGGCCAAACGCCGGACTCGTGGGAAAAGAGACATACAGAGTGCACAACAGGTGCCACGCTGTTTTCGATGGAGACCTGAACAAGTCCGACAGATCTCCCATTCTTGAATAGAAATTTGTTGCTCAAGTCTCTCTCTCTCTCACTCTCTCTCTGTACCCAACCCTTTTCGGGTTACACGATCCTCGTGTAACCCGAAAAAGTTCGTAACGTGGAATCCTTTCGTACGACCTCATCGGGTCGCAATCGGCTGTGAAACAACAGTGATAGCCATGTACACAATCTCTGTGAAGGGAATCGACTTTGAGTCTCAACAGTGATCCTGGAAAAGTGCTGTGCATTTGAATGATCCTTCGAGAACCAAGTTGAAAGGTTTGGATTAAACGAGTTCCATTGAAGCTTCCCATGGAACTGTAAGAAGTTACGAACGTCCCGATTTGAAAGAACGCTTGCAAGGGAAGACGATGCCTCAAGTTCCTACTCCATGGGATTGTGCAAGTAACAGAGAGACGGTTAGATCTCCAATTCCATCATTTCGTACAACTCATAACTGGTTTTCAGGCGCAGCAATCCGTGTCCGCCCTCGTCTGCGACCAAGTGCAATCATTCAGCATGGAATGTGTATCGAAATAATGGATGTTGTTACTTTCAGGAATGTGCTTTTTTTGGTGAATGACTACATAGTGATCACTCTCATGATAATTATCATTTTGTTTCAACGGTGGAATCGGCAGTTGGGGTTGGCCGTTCGGTGATTACTATTCGAATTCGTGGTTAATTCACATTCAATCTACACCACTAAAATGTAAACTATGCACTGAATCATTTCAAAACACTAAAGATTCAACGGAGAATTCTTATGGATTTATTGCCCTTTTTCATCACAATCATTTCCGTGGCTACGGCGGTGATGAACTCTATGAGTATCCTGCGATAGCTCGAATAGGACGATCCCCATAGGTAAAAAGGATCATGTTTTTAAATTCTCTGTATTATCACCGAGCAGTGGATACAGCAGCGAACTAGTTGTGATCTGTTCGTTGAAACTTACATACAGTTTCATTGACGTGAAGGTTACGAAGTTCATCGTCAGCGTTGCCGATCACACGAGATTTCTTTGGAGATTTATACTTACATTCTTTGGAGATATGTATATTTCCTGTCTTCGTTTTATTTCTCATGTTATTGGCAAATATTAGTTATATATATATCATTTACTAAATATATATACGTTTTTATAATAGAAAATAAATATTTATTGATATAATCATGATTGAAAATATTTTTGTAATAATTTTTTATTTATGAAAATTTGATATCTAAATCAATATTACTTCTATATTTATCCCTGTAATTTAGAATTGTATAATATTATAATTATTAAATCAAATATAAATATAATTTTATTGCCAACTATCATAGATGAGTTTAGATATTTGCATGATATATGTTACCAAAAAAATATTTCTTCTATTACAAATAATATTATTGATACATTCTTCAAAAGTGTGATGTACCAACTGAATACAAAAATGTAAAGAGTTTCATTTTTCTTACAACTAAACTTCTAGTATTGCTCCATTGCGAAGGCAATTCCAATGATCATATATATTTCCAATTGTACTCCATCAAGATCTAGATACATATTATCCATTTGGTTTTTTCCGAGATGTTTTAAAAATTATAAAGTCACAAATGACAGGTGGTCATCTTAAATTAAGAATAAGAAAAAAATCTATAAGATTTTGGATTTCAATAACATGTTTTCACATATTGGAAATTAGTAAAATTTATTATGGATTGTTTTTGTAAAAAAAAAATAAATAAAAATTACCATTTGATATTATGGTAAATTCTTAACTAGTATAAATAGAGAGAACTAAGAAAAAGACTCACAAACAAGTTTGAAGATTTATGAATATAGATTTGTTTCATCAATGAAAATGTGAGGTTTTTAATATATTAGATTGTCAATATATGTGTAAATCTGAATGATGAATTGATAAAATGTATGAGAGTGTGTTTGGTACATGAGTATGAAGAGTATTACTAATATTTTACAACCATGATTAACTACTGTAAAGCTATCTGAGGTAAACCTAAGTGATAGTTAGTTCGGAGGTTCAAGCCTACAAATTCTAAAGATGAATTATTTCCTAACAAAGTTCGGGGTAATTCACATACAAGAACTATGGTGATATATTCACAACGTTGTTTTGTAATAACGGTTTTTGTTTGTGTGAAATAGTATTAGAAGTAATCAAGCAGTTGATCATGATTAACTAAAGTATAACTAAATCTTGCTAGTTAGAACTAAGTTTATCTAATGATGACTAAGTTTAGTTATGATATCTATACTTGGCGAAATAATAAAAAAGTAGTAGAAAACATACTTTTGATTATATGATTATTTGTGATTGGTTTGATCAAGTAATGAAAATTTAATTGTTTACACTAAATCTAAAGTTGACTTAGTGGCAAGTTTTAGAAGTTAACAAGATCCAAATGGCATGTCGTCATCTCAACCTAAAGATTAGAAAACTTATAAATATTAATGCTTAATAAAAGTCGAATGACATGTTGCCACATGTTGGAAACTAGTCAAATCTAATATAGTTTATCTTTGTAAAGTAAAAGAGTTGTTAATTATCATGTGTTATTTACCATTTATTATTATGGTAAATAATAATAATACTAGACCTTTAGATACATGATAAGCTACCGCACATACATTTAAGTTAAATCTGAGTGAGAGTCAGCCCGAAAGTTGCATTTTTTGGTTCCATTGCCAAGACCTCAATCTAGAAAGCGAAAGGTTCAAGATTCGATTTTAGCTCGAGAAAAATGTTCATTACATGTCACTTGAAATTAACATTTGAAATGGCCGGACTCAAGCATGATTGAGAATAAAGTACCTTTAGTATATCTAGTAGTTTCATATGATACTCTAGAAGTGATTTTGTATGTTTTGTTCACCTTAGCACGTACTTTCAAGAAAAAATATAATCATATGAATCAAAAAATATTTTTTGAAAAAAAATCTCAAAAGTTTTTATTGATTGTAGAATAGAAGTTGGGGTATGTTTCAATTTTGTTTCAAATCTATATCATATGTTTATGGAAAATTATAAGTGTTGGAAGTTAAAGAATTTTTCATGAGCATTAAAAAATAGATCTTCAAAAAGTTTGTACTGTGAAACTAGTTGTTGTATGTGTGTTATAGAATTAAAAATAGCCAAAGAATGGAGTATGATTAGCCTAGACATAGCTAAGTCTAACTAATTATATCTAAATTTATCAAGTTTTAACTATGTTTAGCTATAAATCTATACTTGGTAGAATAACTTCAGAAGTTTTGGAAGATTTGAATGAGCATTTGTATTTTGTATTGTACAAAAGTTTAGAATTCAAGAATTTTATTTTTTTTGCTTCATGTTTACTTTTGATTGGTTTGACTAAGTAATGAGAACTTCATTGGCTAGACAAAGTTTAATGTTCACTTAGTGAAAAGTGGAGGTTCTAAACGTTGAAAAAGCACAAATGACATGTTGTCATTTCAATCTAAGTATAAATAAACATCTAGAATGTTTAGTACTCCAATGGCATGTTGTCACGTATTGATAACGAATCAAACTTACTATGGTTTATCTTTGTAAAAGTAAGTTAGATAGAAATTATCTTTTGTAATTATTTTAACTTCTCAAATAGTATATATAAAAAGATAGGGAAAATACCATCAAGTAAATTTGGAGAGTTCATGTGTAGAGTTTTGTTTCATAGATGAAAGTTTGACGCTTTTGAGCATTTTAGAGTGTCGGTGTGTGTGTAAATTGGAGTGATAAATTGAGGTATTGTGAAAGAGGTTTTTTGAGACATGGGCGTGAGAAAAAATCATAGTCTTTTAGAATCATGATGAACTACGCAAAACTATTTGAGTTAAACATAAATGAAAGTTAGAAGAAAAGTTATGTTAATTTGAAGTTTAATTGTAACCATCTTTAGTTAGTTAGAACTGAAGTAGAGGTTACTCTAAATGTTGATATAGATACTTTAGCATGCACTAGTCATAGCTGCCACGTTAGCGATCCGCGCGCTTGGAAGGTAAAGACTGGATGTGTTAGTTGACAGTGCCACGTTAACCATCCGTATGCTTGTTAGGTAAGGATTAAGTGTGTTAGTTGGGAGCGCCACGTCAGCAATCCGTGTGCTTGTTAGGGTTATCCGCCACATCATCCATCCACTAGGAGTGAGATGGATGGTGGGTATAACATCTTATCTCCTTGTACTTGTTGGTAAGAGCTATATAAGGGAGAGGAGAACCATTGTTGGTATCTCTCATCTTCAGAGTTTACGTTTTTATCTTTGAGTAAACTTTTCTCTAAACCCTAGTGTTACATTAATGAATACAAAATCAGGAAAATAAATCATTTTGTTTGGATTTTTTGATTCACGGTTTTTGTCACGTAGAGAGCGTTTTTGAGAGAGACCTTTTGAATGTTTACATCTTTTGAAAAAACTAATGAATAAGGAAATTGGAAGGTTGGTTTGTTCAAAGTAGCTCAAAACTCTAATATTATAGTCTATCAAACCTCAAACAGAAGAGAATACAAAGAGATTGGAGTTTGAAGAGAGAGTAATAAGTCAATTTCCAAGAATGATACACAAATCATATTTTTATTATGAAGAGTAGTACCATAAAGTGGTAAATTGCTCCCTGCAAAACAAGTATAAAAAATTTAGGAGAAGAAAAACCTGAGAAGAGTTAAAATTTCATTTGGAATCATTATTGTCACATGAATCACAATGCGCAATCTAGAGTGACAATTATGAGTGATTGAACCACCAACTAGACATGAATGCAGCGTAATGAAACACTCCTTGAATCATTTCTGCAAGTTATTGATGGCAAGCAAAGTGCGGAGACTAAGAAGTTGATCTCGGCTGTTTCAAACTTCAACTGAAAGTGGAAATCATCGTTCGGACAATGAAGAAGATTATGATGAGGGTAAGATTCATTTTGTATTTAGAGTAGAAGAAAACTATGGCAATATTGAACTAGCCAATTCTTTTGTGTTTTCTTTGATGAAATACTCAAGAATAAAATTAATGTTATTTGTGTTTTACTAGAACTTTTCATGTAAATTTCCAATAGAAAAAAAACTCAA